GATGATAACCTGACCTCAAGTCAATTTTACTGAACACACGAGCTCCCACCAACTGATCCATCAAATCATCAATCCTTGGAAGAGGATATTTGTTCTTGATGGTTACCTTATTCAACTGCCGGTAATTGATGCACAAACGCATGCTACCGTCCTTCTTCTTCACTAACAACACTGGAGCTCCCCATGGCGACACACTTGGCCTGATAAACTTTCTATCCAGCAACTCTCCAATCTGAGACTTCAACTCGGCCAATTCCATTGCCGACATCCTGTACGGCGCCATAGAAGTAGGCCTCGTACCAGGAATAAGATCAATGCTAAACTCAACTTCTCTCTTCGGAGGCAACTCTGAAATATCATCTGGGAACACCTCCGGAAATTCATTCACCACAACCAACTCATCCAGCAACGCCTTGCTGTCAACCGACAACGATGCAAATAAATCAAACACCTTAGCTTCATCTTCCAACAAAGTTCTCAATTCCTTACTAGACAAGGAATCTGCCAAAGCTTCCTCATCTGGAGTCAAAAACAATAACACCTTCCAAAAACAATCGATGTATACTCAATTGAACTCCAACCGGTTCATACCCAGTATAACATCCAAACCACCAAGTGACAAACAAATCAAATCCACACCGAAGTCTCGGCCAAAAATAGTCAGTGGACACTTCAAACACACCAAAGAAGTAGTCATTGAACCAATAGAGGGAGTCTCAATAGTCATCTGCCGCTCAAGAGTAGTCGGCACCAAACCTAACCCCTTCACACAATCAACAGAGATAAACGAGTGGGTCGCACCCGTGTCACTCATAGCAGACAAGGGAACATTATCGATGAAATAAGTACCTTTGATCGAACGCTCCTCATCCGCCGACTGAGTTCCCACCACAGCAAACACTTTGCCACTGGTCTGAGGCACCTGAGACGACTTCGGCTTCTCACAATGAGTACTGATGTGGCCCTTCTCACCACAGTTGTAACAGGTAGGCATCACGACCTGACAATCAGCCATCACGTGGCCTGGTTTACCACAGTTGAAACACTTTTTAACCTCCTGAGGACACGCAATGGCCCGATGACCCGTGTCACCGCACCGAAAACACTTTCCACCAGCAAACGATCTTCCTTCTCTAGGCTTCTTATCATTAGCACACTTGAACTTTCCTTTATTAGTCGAAACACTGTAAGGAGTACCACCAAACCTTTGCTTACCCTTACGGTCATTAGCAGCTTTGTAATGCGCAATCCTCGCCCTGTTGTCATTATCATAAATCCTGCTTCTGCTTATCAGCTCAGGATAATCCCTGATCTTCTGACAAGCTATTCCCATCTTCACTTCCGGACGTAGCCCATTCTCAAACTTCAAACGTTTAGAGGTCATCGCTCCATCAATATTGTAATGGGGACAATACTGCACTAGTTCCTCAAACTTAGCGGCATACTCCGCGGTCATATTGCCCTGCTTCAACTCCAAAAATTCTATCTCTTTAGCACTTCTGATATCCTCCGAAAAATACTTCACCAGAAAACCAGTGCGGACAACATCCCAAGTAATTGGAGTTCCAGCAGTCTCCAATCTTTGGCAACTATTGTCCCACCAAGCCTCCGCTTCACCCTCTAGCATATGAGTACCAAACCTCACCTTCTGCTCATCACTGCAACCCATCATTCTGAAGATCTTCTCAATCACCTTCAGCCACTTCTGCTCCGCTTCAGGATCCAAAATCCCTCCTTGAAATGTTGGCGGCTTGTTACTCTGAAACTGCGCCAAGTCTCTGAACTGCGCACCCGCAGCGTGGTTCTGATTAGCAACCACCTGCGCTATCGCTTGCATAGCCGCAGCCAACGCCGCATCATTCCTCCCCGCCATACTGCTCAACAACAACAATAGGTTAATGGAAAACAGACAAGCTCTATCCTACCGACACACTCTAAACACTATACTGGCCGGACGAACCGACCTGCTCTGATACCAAATTGTAACACCCCATTCCCAAAAACACAAATAATTGCAATAAAATAAACGGATATCAGAGTATTCACATACACCATGGGATGTCACAGAAAACACACATCAAGAAAACATCTTCATTAATGATTTTCGATATACAACCACCGCGAAAATATACAAAATACATCCACCACAACGGGTTCAACAAAACATGATACGCCACATGGGCACACAAAATCATCAATAAACAATAAACTCCCAAAAAGCCTCGGTGTTACGTATCAGAGCATTCCTACGACTCGGCACAATCCAAGCTAGCTACATACCTGGATTATCTGTACTTCCAAAGAAGCACAGACCACAACAAAAGTAAAGGGGTGAGAAATCACGATCAAATCATAACGGTAATAACGTACATGAATAAATAGGCAGAAACATATAAAATATTCATTCATATACATCAATTCGGACCTACTGTCCCATGCCAACACAACACTCACAACCATGCAAATATATGCAACACAACCCATGATATGCGGTACCGACTCAACATCACTGGTTTGTCAACCATCCTCGGGATAGATCGCATACGCTCTCTCTGAGCAACGATCTATCCCTACCACGCTCCCCATTTGGAGCCTCGGTTAAATCACACTCAAGATAGATCGCATCCACTCCCTCTGAGCAACGATCTATCCCTACCACTCCCTTCTGGAGCACCGGGAAAACCACACTCAGGATAGACCGCATCCACTCCCTCTGAGAAACGATCTATCGCTACCATGCTCCCCATTTGGAGCACGCAAGTGAATCACATACATTCCATCTGAGCAATGATTCATCCCGTAAACATGCATATGCAAACTCCATGCACACAGTAACACTAGCACACACGGTGCACACGGTCCCCTGACCACATCTCATCACATATCATATGCATATATATATATATATATATATATATATATATATATATATATATATATATATATATATATATATATATATATATATATATATATATATATATATATATATATATATATATATATATATATATCACGCATCCTCATATCCATGCACACTAACATACATCAATTCAATCATTCAATTTAAACGAGTATCAAGCATTCAAGCTCTACATCACACATACACTCTCACTGTTCATCCCCAAACATAAAATCAATCACAATCAGCAAGAGTTAAACAATACAAGAGAATAGAACAACACATCCCAAAATTGAAAGAAACACTGCCATGCTCGCTAGCTCATTCGCTAGGCGAAGCATCAACGAGTACTCGCTACTCGCTCGCTCAGCGAGCACCCTCGCGAAATATATATATATATATATATATATATATATATATATATATATATATATATATATATATATATATATATATATATATATATATATATATATATATATATATATATATATATATATATATATATATATATATATATATATATATATATATATATATATATATATATATATATATATATATATATATATATATATATATATATATATATATATATATATATATATATATATATATATATATATATATATATATATATATATATTTATATATATATCACGCATCCTCATAACCATGCACACTAACATACATCAATTCAATCATTCAATTTAAACGAGTATCAAGCATTCAAGCTCTACATCACACATACACTCTCACTGTTCATCCCCAAACATAAAATCAATCACAATCAGTAAGAGTTAAACAATACAAGAGAATAGAACAACACATCCCAAAATTGAAAGAAACACTGCCATGCTCGCTAGCTCATTCGCTAGGCGAAGCATCAACGAGTACTCGCTACTCACTCGCTCAGCGAGCACCCTCGCGAAGCCAACAGAAACAGTCTGGGAGCACTCGCTACCAAGTTTGCCCAGCGAACACCCAACGAAGGTTCGCTAACAGCTCGCCCAGCGAAGCAGCTGGCGAGCGTCTGCGAAATTAGAAAAATAATCCGCTGTGCAGCAGCTGCACAGCCTTCCGAATTCAGCCGATTCTACTCAACTCAGTTCCCAAAGCATCGGCTCAACATGCAACAACCTAATTACGAAAACTACTCTCGATTTAACCCGACATAACCTTAATTCTACTCAGTTAAACAACTTCCGGCATAAACACTGCAACTACCGAAATTCCTAAAATCACCAAACAATCATACTTCATCGCATGCAACAGAATCCACACACCATCAACAAACATCAGAATCAAATACTCATACCATATCATCATCGAAACCTAATGGGGTTAGGGAAATCCCCTTCTACCTAGTATTCATGCAATTACCGACTTGACCCGATTATCTCCCCCTACCTCAATAAGCAGTTTGATGATGATGAACTTCAAGAATCCACACGAAAATCCTACAGCCCAACCTCCTCTTTCTCAAGCTTGCTCTTGCTTTGATCGTGTTCTTTCTTCAGCTACGCGTTCTTCTCCTTCAGCCGTGTTTCCTCTTTCCCAATTCTTTTTCAAATGCCACAATTGCCCTTAATTCCAATAATTCACTTTTATTTTCCTTTTCAATTCCAAAAACAATAACCTCACATTTCTTTTAATTTCCAAAATAATATTTTACTCATATATATTAATATTAGTAATAATAATAATAATTAATAATAATATCAACATTACTATTAATTATTACGTTTTATCACTATATATTAATATTATGATTTCATTGATCCTCAAATAATCCCACACAAAACAAGCCAACGAATAAAATAACACCGAAACTAAAGATAATTAAAAATGGGCATTACAGTTTCTATAATGCCAAAGGCCATATATGGTCTCAGCCAGAGCCATTTTAAAGAGACCAGCTTTGCACCCTTTACCTTTAATTTGCCTTTAAATCCATAATATTTCCTCTTTTTAAGACTGAGGTTGATGGTTAACCCTCACCCACAAAAGAACATCCCTTCAAACCTCATTGAGCACCCTACAGTCAAAGAAAAGATGATCTTGCATCTCTTTACTAACACCACAAATCTGACACAGATCATCTGGCAACAAACCCAATTTCATCATTTTTCTCCTTCATGGCCAGAAGACCATGGCACGCCAACCAGCAGGTCAAGTCAGCATGAGGTCTAGCATAATTGTTTCTAATAACTTGGAACAAATCAGTAGGACTTTGATTTCTAATTAGTTCCATGTAGGTCTTCCTCATTGAAAACTTACAGTTTGTCAGCATTGTAACCCAGAGATCCTGTATCTGGTTCACAGTGCCTCTACTTAACATAACAACTTTCAAAATCCACGAACTTGTATTCTTCAAGTCAGCATTCTTTACGTCCTCATCTTTTAGGTAGTAAGTGTGAACCCACTTTACCCAATGGTTATCCACCTTCATACAGATATTGCACAGGCACTTGAGCATGGACACCTTATTCCAAATGCCAATATTAATGATATTCAAGCCACCTTGGCTAATAAGGCTGCAAACTTTAGACCAAGCCATAGGGATTCTCCTACTAATCTCAGCCTTACCAGTCCAGATAAAAGACCTGCAAATAGCCTCAATTTTTTGAATCACCAACATAGGGATTGGAAAGTAAGTTATCCAATACTGAGCAATGGCCATAGTGATACTCTTCACCAATTGAATCCTGCTAGCAGTACTAAGAAGCTTAGCAGACCAATGCCTAATCCTACAGAAAATCCTATCCACCGAAGGAAGGTAATGGTTCACACTCAGTTTCTTACTGAGCAGGGGAACACCAAGGCATCTCACTGGGAGCTGACCCTCTTCAAAACCAGAAAGCCTTTCAACCTCCTGGATAAGACTAGTTTCCATACCACCACAAAACAACTTACACTTTCTAGGATTAACTATGAGACATGTTGAATCAGAGAATTTCTTGAAAGCTTCCAATATCAGCTCAAATGACATAAGATCGCCTCTACAGAATAACAAAACATCATCAGCAAAAGCCATATGAGTAAGAGCTAACTTCTCACATTTACTATAATGATTGAAGTTTGAATTTTGCGGCATTTTCACCATCAACCTATTCATGTACTCCACCATTATGACAAACAACATAGGGGAAATGGGATTCCCTTGTCTAATTCCTCTCTTGGCATGCAAAACATCAGAACACTCACCATTAACATTAAATTTGTAACTCACAATAGTGGTAGTTTTCATGATCCACTCAACAAATCTTCTAGGCAACCTAATCTCAATCAGAATGAACTCTAGAGCCTACCAATACACCATATCATAGGCTTTTGGAGGTCTAATTGCATCATACATTTAGGAGTCCCCCTCCCCCTTTATAGAGTAGCCTTTCATAAGCTCAAAGGCTAATAAAATATGGTTATGGATAACTTGCCCTGGGACAAATGTTGTCTGACTCTGGTGTATGACATATTGCAAGATTTTCCCAATTTATTAGTCAAAATCTTTGATAAGATTTTGTAGAATTTGGTACACCCTGCTATAGGCTTGTAATCTTTCACAAACTTATCATCATCATTCTTTGGGATGAGGGTAACAACAGTGTTATTGAAAGCATTATACATGTAGCCTTTTTCAAAAACACTCATGTATAACAGCCATAACTTCCTTCTTAATTATGTGCCATCTAGATTTAAAAAACTTAGCCGCATAACCATCTAACCCAGGAGCTTTCATGTCACCAATCCCTTTCAAGGCTTTAAGGGATTTTTCTTCAGTAAATATATCTGTCAAACTCCCTCCATGCTCTCTTGTAAATTAGTTGTCACCTCTAAAGGCATCTATGTCCACATGCTTTAGGGAAGTAGCAACTTTCCCCATGAGATTTTTATAATGCTCCATAACTTCTTGGATAATGCCCATCTGCTCAGTAACAATATCACTGTCATCCTTATGCAGGATGTTCATACTCTTCCTTTGATGCTTAGATTTTATAGTTGCATAATAAAAGGCATTATTGTCATCCCCTTGCCTTAACCAATCTATTTTAGCTCTTTGCATTAACATACTTTCCTCAAGCTCATTCCATTTAACTACATTCTTAGTACACATTTTAACCTTGTCAATAGCATTACTATCCAGCCTATTAAGAAATAACTCCTGTTGCGCCTCATCTAACTCATTTCTGGCTTTTATCACCTGCTGACCGACATTAACCATAGTCTTGCTAAACTTCACAAGCTCAGGCTTGAGCCTTTGAAGCTTTTTCCAGAGATTATACATAGGGTTCCCCTTAATAGGTTTATTCCAATTTTCCCTAACTACATCATCGTACCCAGCCAGATTCTGTGAAATCAAGATTCTCAAGATCAAGTTATGTTTTGATGAAGACAAACCACTTGACAAGAAGGCAAATATGCTCAATCAATTCTAAGACATCATGTTAAAGAAAAGAATCAGGACAAAGACTTGATATAAAGAATAATCTCATTGGAAGGTATAATGAAAATCTTCATCAAGTATTTAAGTCTCAGTTGCTCAAATCATATAAAATCACTGCATGACTTTCTCACACTTTCACAAGCTTTTTTAACAAGATTTTTTCTAAGATTTTGCCAGTGCAATCGATTGCACCATTACAGCAATCGATTGCATGATCAAATTTTTACTCCATTTTGGCTACTGTTTCTTAGTGCAATCGATTGCATATGTGAAAAATCTTCTTATTTTTGCTTCTGTTTTTGTGTGCAAACGATTGGTGCTTTCATGCAATTGATTGCCCAGTTCAAAAATTCAAATTTTCAAGTATTTTTCTGAGTGTGTAATCGATTGGTCCTGTTGTGCAATCGATTGCTCACTTAACGTTTTTGAAAAATTGTTCTGAAAAATTGCACCTCTTCAACCATTCTTTTCTGAATTGTTTCCATTGAATCATGAAAATTGTTCATCATATTTTATGAAGATTTACATGATATTTCAAAGGGGTGCTTGTGTCATACAAATACCTAAACTTTCATTTTTCAAAAACACCTCTTTCACAACCTCTTTCAAAATCTTTACTAATACTTTCATCTTTCCACATCGTGAGTAAAATCAATTTTCATAAAGAATTTTCTGCATATTTTCATATCTTTTGAAAGAAAATTCTTGATCAACAAAGTCTTAAAATAATTGTGGAAATTATCATTGAAAGAGAAGATCAATCACAACATTGATAAAACTTTGTATACACAGATTTCAAACTCATTGTAAATTCAAAGATTGTAACTATTCCCCTTGCTATTCAGGATTGTTGAAAGCAAGTGTGTGCTTGAAGAGGATTGTTCTTCTTGCACTTAGTATTCAGATTTTATAGGAGTTAAGAGCCTTTAATCTACCTATAGGTTAGACAGTAAGTTGTACACTCATCCTAACTATAGTGAAATCTCTTTCGGTGCAAAAGGGGACTGGAGTACCTTCGGAGTGTGAAGGGAACCAGGATACTTCTCTGTGTTATTTACTTTCTGCACTTTACTGCTTTCATAACCCCTTCATATCTCAAAGAAAGTAATAACCTCATTCGATAAAACCAGAAAATTTCAAAGAACTTGATTCACCCCCCCCCCCCCCTCTTAGGTGCTACTCAGACTATCAGATTCACCATGCAGTTAAGAAATTTTAACCTTTTATGATAGGCTTAAGGCTGGTTCCTCCCCTCCGGACGCAAAAGAGCATGATCTGAGACACTTGAGGGAAGAATCTTCAAATGATTGTCCAGATTCTCTTGAAACCAGGTGGTGTTACCAAGCACTCTATCAATTCTAGAGTGAATAGCACCACTAACCTGTTTATTACTCCAAGTAAAGTAGTCACCACTACTCTCCATCTCACTAAGACCAGTTGCATCCATCATATAAAGGAGATCAGAATACTCATCCTTAGAGACTGATCTACCACCCATTATGTCCTGAGCCTTCAACACATTGTTGAAATCCCCAATTACACACCAAGGATTTTACACATTACCTTGAAGTTTCTCTAAATCCTTCCACAAAACTCTTCTCAACTCCATCTGATTATGGGCATAGACATTTTTTAATAGAAATTTGAATTGCTTTAACTTGTCTAGAACTATACAATCTAAATAATAATCAGAACTACAAACATACTGAACATTGAACTTCTTATCATTCCAAGATAGCCAGATTCTACCATTGTCATGATTTTGATAGTTGTCTAAGTACTTCTCATGCAAGTTTGTCTTCTCTCTAATACTCTTTTCCTTACTAATCTTCACTCTAGTTTCAATAAGAATCAAAATATCAGGTTTTAGATTATAGAGACGGGAGCTAATCTCTCTTCTTTTCCCTTATTTATTCAGCCCCCTTACATTCCAAGAGGCTAACATGAACCTCTGCTAAAGGCCACCATAGGGTCCTTCAAAACCACAGAGCCTCAAACTCATTCTACAGTTCACATCATTGCTTGAACCAACACCTTCAATTCTCTTACCTTTGTCCCTCGTAGCCTTTGTCACCTTTGTCCTCCTATGTAACACTCAATTTAATTATTTAGTCGTTTTATGATTTATTGTGTGTTGTTTGTGATTTTATTGATGTAATAAGGGGTAAGTGTGTTGGGCGGGTGTGAGATCTTAGTAAGAGGACTTAATCAGAATTAAAGTTTAGGACAACATGGTGATAATAATATAATAAGGAGATATTTTATTAATGTTAATATTAGTTGTATTAATATTAACATTATTACTATTATAATTATTAATATTAGTATTATTCTAATTATTAACATTATCATTATTATTGGGATTATTATTATTATTATTATTATTATTATTATTATTATTATTATTATTATTATTATTATTATTATTATTATTATTATTATTATTAAGATAATTATTAAAATATAATTAGAGGGGATTAGTGGAGAGGTTAGCAAAAATCAAATTTCTTCTACGTTAAAAGAGAAAGACAAAGAGAGAGAGAGAGAGCTAGGGCAAGAAGAACAAGAAATTTCCACCATTTTTGAAGGATCAAAACTTGAATTTCAGGTAAGGGGGAGAATGGGGTCAATAATGGTGTTAATAACATGAGATGATAGTGAGAGTTCCTTTCCCTCTTAGGATCCTGTATATTTTTTGTTTTCTTGATCTGTTACGTGATTGTGATATTGCTGCAGTAAATCCATGTTTCGAGTAATGTCTGGTGTGGATGCATGTATGTGTGAATCTGTATTGTATATTGAAATCGAACAGTAAAATATGTGCATATTGATTCTGTGTTGCTGAGTTCTGATATAGAATAAATCTTGGATTTGGGGTTTATGATGTTAACGAAAATTAGGTTGTTAACACATAATAGGTTGATAAGAATGATGAAACCATGAAGTAGAGTTAGAATTTTGGGATTAGACTGAAGAAAATATGATTTTGGATCTGATTTAGGTGCTGGAATAGGTTTCAATGTGTGAAAACTTGTGTAAATGGAAAACTAGGATTTTGGCATGCTGGGCCATACTCGTAACAAGTGAAGCATTACGTGTATGGCAGGGAACCCCCAGAGGATTACGCGTATGATACACAACTTGTCCCAAGGCGAGCATGGCCCTCTGCCAATACGTGTAAGGGGAACTGGGCATTACGCGTATGGAAGGGTATTACGCGTAAGGGGATCTCAAAATGGACTTTTGGGGGAAAATTTCACCTTTGTGTAGGTTTGATGATTTTGCATTCACCTTTGCATTCACCAAGTGATGTGGGCTTATCTATATATTATTTTTGTGTGAATTTCCTTGTATTGTGAGAAAAAAAACCATGAGCCTATCTTGTTGTATAATATGGATTTAATATGTGTACCTCCAATTTTCCAAGACTGAATTTTAAAAAAAAAAAGATTTTCCTTGGCTTTAAATCACACCTTTTCTCCATACTCTTGCATTCATCAATTGAATCCAACATGCCTCTTCTTGAATTGAATCGAAAAACACATTTGAAACCAAATTCCAATACTTGTGAATCTCTCACCTGATTGAATTATAATCTTAAATCGGTTCTTGAGAAGTACGCCTAACCATAGAACAATACTAATTTTTTGAATGAATCAAAGCCTTTGAATTGAAACGATCCGGCTCTAAATCAACCTTTGGACTATCTCATTCATACTAGTAAAGTGAATCTTTCACCATGAACCAAATGAGCAACAAGTGTATAGAAATCAGAAGATAATGACTCGCCACATGGATCTCAACAA